TTGTTTATTTTCACTTCCAAGACTATTCTTTCGTTACAATCCCTCTGAGTGGAGCATCAATGTATTAGTATCATCAGGACTCTCAAGATTTCACGGCAGTGTAGCATTTAGCATAACGATAAAAGAATATGTGAATGTAAGGTATGTACTAGATTCAGTACAAAACAAAGGCGCTCGGCCTACATACACATAACTTATATTATATGCACTAAGTGGGTGTTGAGAGAGAGAGAGAGAGAGAGAGAGAGAGAGAGAGAGAGAGAGAGAGAGAGAGAGAGAGAGAGAGAGAGAGAGAGAGAGAATGAGTGAGTACCTCCAATCTTGCTACAGAGATTATCATTCTTTATATTTTCTCTCTCTTCTCTCCACTTCCCTCTTTCTCATATAACCAACACACACACACACACACACAAATGGCAAATGGAAATTATCCTTGCATCTTCGTAATGCACCTTCCCTCTTGTCAAAACACTGAGGAGGAATGCGTTTGGAAATAAAACGTTGGGCAAGAAAACGTTTGGAAATAAAGCGTTTGGAATTAAAACGTTTGGAAATAAAACGTTAGGAAATAGAACGTTTGGAAATAAAACGTTTGGAAATAAAACGTTTGGAAATAAAACGTTTGGAAATAAAACGTTTGGAAATAAAACGTTTGGAAATAAAACGTTTGGAAATAAAACGTTTGGAAATAAAACGTTTGGAAATAAAACGTTGGGCAAGAAAATGTTTGTAAATAAAACGTTCGGTTCTGGCCTCGTTTTGGGATTAGTCCATGGGCCAGCGTAAACCCCCATCCCCTCCTTTGGGAAGTTTTGTAGACTAGTATTTTCTGATACCCCTTAGAATACCCTTTATGAATTCGCTTGTTTGCATTCAAATCATTGGTGGGTAAAGGTACAATGCCCTGTTGAAGTTGTAGTGGTGCAGTTCAACTTTTGGCTCAATTTTTTTAGCGGAAACATAAATGACCATAGCTTCATAGCCGTTTACCCTAGAACAACAAATTACCCCTTAAAATAATCAGCCTAAAGCCCTCTTTCAAACAAAGTTATGAATATGCAAATTTAGGTCAAATCTAGGTCACCAGAGTGCTAATTCAGGAATGATAACCCTGTCACGATGCCACGATGTTTGCCAAATGTCACAGGTATAAACTAAAGTCATTTAAGAATTGCCATGGCTATTTTTATTCCACCTTCTACTTTTCCTCACCAGCACTTTCCATGCCTTCATTCTCGTCCTCATCCTCATCCTCATTATAGATAATATCGTACAGGTTCTCTGCTTCATCGTCTTCCATATCTTCCTGGCCCTCTACTTCTCTCTCTTCAACCAATATGTCAACTAGTTCCTGTGGCAAAAGGTTTCCGTCTGTCCATTTTATTTTCAGGTGACCATCCTCACTTAGTTCCCAGCCATGCCCATCTGGTTTGGGAATGCATTCCATGGCTTGATCTGCCCTGTGCCAGACTAAGGCTTGATAGTTTGCCCTTCTGACATGCATTTGTAGGGATGCCGTGCAAGGTGGTAGCAGGCTCATATCTATCCCGTCATAAGTGGATATTAGATTTCCAGCCTTTGACTTGAATCGTTCCATAAAATTGTGATACCGAAGGTTGTTGATATCAGTAGTTGAAGTGCGTCTGCAATAGAGAAGGCACACAAAGTGCTTCAAACGGTCAAATACATGATCACTGACCTCTAGCGATCTTCCCAGAATGTTGAAGACATTAAGAAATTCATCATGTGCTTGCAGTGTTTTGAGTGCCATCAATTGTCCTTTTCTCACAAAGGCGCTAATTGAATCACAACCACTAAAGGTATGCAGTGCTGGCAATGCAGAGCACATGTCCTTTCCCAGTGACCGTGAAACTCTTTGAACATCAATCAGACATCTGTTGTTATCTACCAGTGTCAAGTAAAACCTGTTGGGTCAGTCCGTATGTGAAGTGAAGAAGTATGAAAACGTCTGTATCTGGCGATCTAAAAGTGATGACAGAATCCTCAGATGAATGACTGGCAACATGAAGGCAATGCCGAATAATTCTGGTGTCTGCCTCTTCTTGGTCAGATGTTAGTTCTTCCACCAGCTCCGAAATCGTATTGTGCCCATTTGGGCTGTGTAGTCTGAAGCAATACTTGCCACACACTAAAAGAATCTCCATTCTGTGAAGATTCTGCGCATAGTCGTCCTTTTGCCATTCTTTAAGCAGGAAACTAATCAATTGGGTTTTATTTTCACCACAGGACAAAAAGCTTTTCCAATATCTAGGTACCTTTGTGTTGGTCCCCTTTATCAGATAAGCCATTGACGAACCCCTTCTTTCACGTTCGGCTGCCTTGATTGACAAAATCCACTCGCTTGCCCTTACTACCACTGCTATAGGCTTACCAATATCGTCCATGGGCCGTTGGTCTAAATAACCCCCTTCCTTGGGGATTTCTATAGACTACTATTTTGTGATACCCCTTGGCACATTTTGTAAGCAATGCCCTATTTTTGCACTCTTTTGACCTAGGGTGACCTAGATTTGACTCAAATATCTATATTGACTATTCTAATCGACAGTGGACCTTCACTAGACAATTTTGAGGGGTATTTTTTTGCTCTACGTCAAAAGGTTATCTGTATTTCCCTTACCCCTAGGATATATTGTCCTCAAACTGGACACACCGGTTAAACTTCAATAAGGCCCTGCACCTTTACCCACCAACGATTTTAATGCAAACAAGCAGATTCATAAATGGTATGCCAAGGGGTATCATAAAATACTAGTCTACAAAAATCCCCAAGGGGGGGGGATGATTCCGACCAATGGCCCATGGACTAGATATCTCGATGCCCTGCTTCTCGTTTTAGCTTCATTCATCTTTGCTAATCCTTCCATTAACACCAAAGGAGAAGAAATCGAAATGATAAACCGCTGAGACAAATTGTATGATAAACAGTCATGACAAAGATTTACAATAAAATGAATAACGTAGAGCCGAGATGATGAAGGATAGATAATGATAAAGAGTCAAGATAAAAATACTCTACCAGGACATCCCTCGTTGTCTCTTTAAATCACTAGTATAACTTTCTGGATGTAGATATAATTACAAAAATTAACTATATAAAACGACGAAAGAAATGAAAAGAGCAAATATATCAGTTTTTTACAATATTTGGCAGTCTTTTTTTCATGAAATGCATCAACATGGAAGAAATAAGTAGCTACAAACAAGAAAATAAAATTTATCTTGAACATATATTTTTTTGCATGACAGATTCTCGCCAGCTCATGTCATTTTCTATTTTACAAACATATTGTATTTTTTTCATAATCAAATCTTGAATGAATAATACTTAATCATCGATGTATGTGTGCGTGCGTGCGCGCGCGTGTGTGTGTGTGTGTGTGTGTGAGGGAGAGAGAAAGAGAGAGAGAGAGAGAGAGAGAGAGAGAGAGAGAGAGAGAGAGAGAGAGAGAGAGAGAGAGAGAGAGAGAGAGAGAGAGAGAGAGAGAGAGAGACTGCGTAAGTACATAATGCATATCAATATACGAACCGATATACTTTAAAATATAAAACATCTGCATCATAATATTCTCATTGGACACAAGACCTTTTACATATCTACAAATCTATACTGTGTTAACAAAACACACACACACACACACATACACACACACACACACACACACACACACACACACACACACACACACACACACACACACACACACACACACTGTCAACAATACGTAGCAAGACCGGATGGTACTCTTCACACTTTCGTCCAAGCAGATGTCGCCCGGCTTTCTCTTTTCGCGCAGGAATAAACATCCGCCCTCGAAGGGAACCGCCGCATAAAAGGACACGTGCGCAAGACGAAAAGAGAGAGACACGGCAGACAGGCCAAGCCACACAGGGTTCAGCTCCACCTCCTTGTCCTCCATCCGCACGCATATCTACCTTCAGAAACAAACCAGCAAGCGAAGACCCCTTTCATTGACCGCCCAAGACCATCTCTCTTACGTTACATCTGGTAAAAGCGGTGCTCCCAACGTCTCTCTTATGCTTACATCTGCGTCCTGCCCAAGGAGAAGGGTGGCTGCTTGGACGAAGGTGTGAAGAGTACCATCTGGTCTACGTATTGTTCACACACACACACACACACACACACACACACACACACACACACACACACACACACACACACACACACGCACGCACACGCACGCACGCACAAGCACGCGCACGCACACGCACGCACGCACGCACACACATACACACGCACACGCACACGCACACACACACATATATATATATATATATACATATATATATGTATATATATATATATATATATCATCATCATCATCATTGGGGGGCTAACGCCGGTAGGGGCGCATAGCCGCGTCCACCCTTCGCTTCCACCTGCGAGGGTCTCTCATGGCGAGCCGCCAGGCAGGGGCCCGGCCCATCTCTAGTTCCTCACGACACGTTTGATCGATCTGCCCAAGCCATGACCTTCTTGGTCGTCCCACAGGCCTCCTCCACCCAGGGTTGTCTCGAACAGAGACAACCTGATGGGCAGGATCATCCTGCGGGAGTCGAGCCAAGTGGCCATATAGCCTGAGTTGGCAATCACGGATTGTGCAAGTAACAGGTCCTGTACCGGTCTCACGGTGTAGCTGTTGGTTGGACACATGGTCCCGCCAACTGTACCCCATGATCCGGCGCAGGGATCTGTTACAAAAGGCATCGAGACGAGATTCCAAAGCACAAGATAGCGTCCAAGTTTCACTACCATATAGTAAAACTGGCAGTATCAGGGCCTTGAAAACTCGTAGCTTGGTCCTTCTGCACAGGTACCGGCATCTCCAAATACTCTTGTCGAGAGATTTCATGACCCCTGCTGCCAGGCCAATCCGTCTACTGACTTCCTGGTCTGACAGCCCAGAGTCATGAACTGCACTACCGAGGTATATAAAACTCCTAGTGACTTCGATGTT